TGGGTCTGGCGGCTTTTGCTTCCCCAGTTGGCTGGGGACCGCGTAAAACATCTCTTGTATCACAGGAGACTTTCCAGCTGGCACGGGAGGCTGGATCTTAGCCTCTTAGGAGCATCTTAGCCTGTCTTAGGAGGCTCGTTGTCATCTCCCTTCCATTGGTAAGTATTGCCCAGCAGCACACGTGTGATTCCCAGTACTAAAGAACGAACAGCGGACGCTTTGATGTTCCTGCAAGTGGTGGTTGCTTAATGAGGTTGAGGTTGGTTATGCTGGAGTATATACAGGTAGGTGGCGGAGAAGTTGGTTGGGAAGTATCTCGAGTGCTCTCTTACCCTGAGCAGGATCCAGTGTACTTCAACTTATCCCTGACAGACACTTCCTTAATTGGCTCTTACGGATTATGAAATTCATGGAGTGCCTTCTCCCCCTCGCCAAGGCAACCTGCTGCAATGCTTAGCTATCATTTCTGGTTAGAATTTTTCCTGACCTAAATCTCCTGTGTTGAAACTAAGCTGATTATTATCTTGCACTCTCCGGAGTAGACCTGGAGAACAATGGATCGGTGTTCTCCTGTCAGCAGCCTGGTGGGTGTTGGCAAGTTTCCCCTCACACTCTTCTCCAAACTGAATGAGGCCACTTCTCGTGTTTCTCTGGTCCCCGAGCTCTGGTAAGCATTTCCATCATCCCTGGACCGTTAAACTCAGAACTAGGTGCAGTACTCCAGTGGAGATTGTTAGGTCTGAGGAAGTGGGGCAATTCTCTCCCTTGTGTGTGGCATCCCTCTTAAAAACACTCCAGAATGATACTGTCTTACTTGGCAACATTCTCACGTTGTTGAAATATTCCATTTGTGATCCACTGAAAGCCAGATCCCTTTTTGCTGTACTGCTAGCCAGGGAATTATTCCTGAAGAGGTATCCATGTTTGTTTGGGTTTTTTACTAAGTATATTATTTTGTACTTGTTATTAATTTGAGAAGAAGTTATATTGATCATTATAACGTAACTTCTTTTATCTAAATTTAGTCTCTGAAATTTGTTCTTCCAATCCCCTTCCTTCAAGTTTGGAGTCATCCACAAATAGTTAATTAAAATACCAAGTAGCGCCAGGCCTTGCACATTGTGATAAACCCTCCCAGTTTGACTTTCTCAAACACTTTCTTCTTGTTTTTCTTGTTTCCTACTAAAGCTGCAACTCATTCTGTGCCATGGCTTTGCAGCTGAGCCAAATCCTGCAGAGAATCTTAAGTGAGGAAACCATCAATTCCTTTGAATTGGCTTCTGTGCACAGAGAAAGGATTGCTCGTAGCTCAAAAACTAGAAATATGTGTAAAATCCTGAACCCTTCTCAAGTTTTAGTGTGTTGCGTATGGCTTCTGGATGTCCCAGGCACCTGCTTACAGAGAATAATGATTGCTGGCAGTTTCCCATTCTCCCTCTTGAAGCTGTTATGCTACGTAGAGAGAACTGAAAAGGCTTCTCTTGAGGCATCAGGCAAATCATGTAACTCACTTTTCAAAAATAATGGAACAAAGGTTTTACGTGGTTTTACTTCCTACCCATAAAATGGTAATTTCTATTTTGCAGGACATTATGAAAATAAGTATTCCTAAAGCAATATCCAAATGATAAAAAATGTCCTCAGAGTTACTGCAGATACTAAAAAAAACCCCCAACATTTAAAAATATATGTATATTTTCGTATGGATATTGAGGTATGAGGTCTGCAGGCATAGTCAGCTGCCTGCTGCTTTCATCCCTTCTACACAGCATACAGTAGTGAGCTACAAGATGGTTTGTGAACTTTGACAGAAAGGTGCTGAATCACTTGGGAAAAGACGAAAAAAAAGTTGCAGCATTAAAGGATGTTGAAGGTTGTGAGTCATTCATATGCTGCCATAATATGGCTCGTGCCTGAGGTAGATGGGTCTATCCCTCTTCCTGTGTTCTAAGTTATTTTAAATTCTTTTCTCGTTCATTTCCTCAGAAAAATCTGCTTTGATCCTAACTTTCTTTAGAATTTCATTTGCTTTTTTAGAGAGCTTTCCAGAATAACCATACAAATGCCTCATTCTCACCTACTTAATACAGGATCAGATTTATAGATAATACATTAATGCGCAGTTATACTTGTAAGGGATTAGTTTTTCTGATCACAGATGGTCTGTGAAGCTGAGAATAAGAGGCAATATTTTGAAAATTTTTAATACTGCAGTAATTTTAAAATATTCTGAGAAGCAGCAACCTGTCAATTAGAATAAAAGGACTAGTCTTTTGATGAAAATGCAGCAGACTAATTCAATGTAAACAGCAAAGTTTCTTTCTTTTAAAATTTCATTTCACTGTGGAATCATCATAAAAAAAAAGTTTCTAGAGTTGGAGATTAAGCGTAGGTAAACATGTGTATATTGACTTCACTGGAAGGAAAAGTCCAGCACTGGCAGGGTCATAAACTAAATAATCATACACGTATCATCCTCTATCCTCTACAATAATTTTGTTTTCTTTTTCATTCTGGTTTGCTTAGATGTCTCACATTAAAGATCATGGAGCTAGGAAAGGCAAAGCTTCTGAGAACTGGCCTTAATGCCTTGTACCAAGCAATTCACCCTGTGCATGGTATTGCCTGGACAGATGGGAAACAGGTGATACTAACTTCTTTACACATTCATAATGGAGAACCAAAATTTGGCGACTTGAGTGTTGTCGGTCAGTTTGAACACGTCCATGGACTCTACTGGGGCCCGTGTCCTGATGCCCCAGCTCTGCTCGCTGTTCAACATAAAAAGCATATCACCATTTGGCAGCTCTGTTTTAACGCTACAGAAAGAAACAAGCTCTTAGTTTCTCAGATTTGCGACATCAGCGAGCCGTTTCCAGTGCTCCCCCAAGGCTGCGTGTGGCACCCGAAGAAGGAGATCTTGGCTGTGCTGACTACACGGGATGCCTCTGTCTTACACTCTGTTCATCTCAACAACTCCAGAATTAAAGCAGATATTAAAGGCAGCGGTCTCATCCACTGTGCTTGTTGGACGAAGGAAGGCAATCGCTTAGTAGTGGGAGTGGGCAGTGCCCTGCACTCTTATATTTGGGATGATGCTCAGAAAACACTGAATGCTTGTTCTTTTTGCCCAATCTTTGACGTGGGAGGCTACGTCTGTGCTGTGGAAGCTACTCTGAATTTCCAAGTTGCTGTTGCCACTGAGCTTCCTCTAGACAAGATCTGTGGCTTAAATGCTGGTGTTGCCTTTGAAGTTCCAGCGAGTGTTGAAACAGAGTCCTTCCCCTCACAGTCCAGCTTATGTGGTGAGGAAGAGTATTCCATGGATGGGGGGAAAAAATCACTGGACTCTGAGAAGCCCTTGTCTGTTGTTACATCTCCTGTGGATCTAACTCACATACTTTCTAGCAAGCAAGGTGCTGATTCCAGCCCTCTTCTTCATCTGAGGCCCAAGGACTACCTAACGGGAAGTGGCCAAGATTCTTCACATCTCATCTTGGTGACTTTTGAGAGAAAGGTTACCTCTACCAAAAAAGTTAGCATCCCAGGCATTCTGGTTCCTGATATAATGGCTTTTGACCCCAAAACTCAAACTATATCAGTTGCCTCCAATACTTGTAACGTTATTTTAGTCTATTCACTGACTTCATCCACTTTACCCAATATTCAACAAATTCAGCTAGAGAAAAATGAGAAACCAAAGGGTTTGTGTTTCTTGACCAATAAGTTGTTACTGATACTGGTTGGAAGACAAAAATTCACTGACCCTGCATTTCTTCCTTCTTCAAGATCAGACAAATACATGATCCGATTGATGATTAAGGAATTAATCTTTGAAATGGGTCCTGCCACATCTGCATCAGTTAGTGGGAGCTCCAGTTTGAACCTTTCAAACATACCTCATGATCTCTCTACAGATGTTCACCCTCTCAGCCGTGGACTCTTGATACCAGATCGTGCTGCCTTGCAGTCCCCTACCAGCAGAAGGAAACTCATTGAAGAAATTAAGAGTCCTGTTTATGAGCAAAGCTTGTTGTTGAACATGCGTGACCTCAAAGATAAAAAGACTCCCATGAATTTTTCTCCAGCTGCTGAGTCTCTCGATGCTGAACCAGTTAATCGGACTGTGGCACTGTCTGCTGCATCGCTGGCGTTCTCTAACAAGCCAACATCTCCAAAAAGGCAGGCAGATGCAGCTTCCAAAATACAAAATTCTTACAAGAATAACCTACTAAGTGAAAAGGAGGCAAGTTACTTTTCGAAAAATGTAGAAAAACTGTCTGGTAACTTCACAGAATTACAGCATCGTCTCTGTGAATTAACCGAGCTGCTAAAATCTGGGAAGAGAGATCTTTCAGTGTACCCATCTTCTCAGGAGCCCTCTTTTGTAAACATCACCTGCCAGGTAATTTTAATATTGAAGCCTTAGTGATAAAATCTGTTTATGGATGTTATGTTCTTTGCACGGATTTAAAACACAAACTCTTGTCAGATTACGCGCAGGAAGGGTGACATCCTATGAACGTTTAGTCGGTGCAAATTGGGTACATATGAATGATCTTGCTGCATGCAGGTGAATCTGATAGGAGTCTTACTTAGATTTATTTAGGCTTTACATAAGCCTGGCTTGTTTTTGTTGTCCTTCTTCCCTATTCTTCTGTAATCACATCTCAGTCCCTATTTACAGTTGTTTTAAAACTACGTATTTGTATTTTTCTTTGATGGGAGATAGAATGAGGGAAACATTTCAGATACTTTTTTAAACCAAACTTAAACTAACGTATCTAAAACGATTGCCATTTCAGCTGGATGCTGTAGTGCTGCTTTCATTCTTGCACAGCCGTCTGTACCAGTGGTAAAAAGAGAGCGTTTCTGGAAAAAGACGACCATTGTCACGTAATGGTCAATAGGATCAGAATTCCATCCTGTTCCTGTAGGTGGGACTAATGTTCCAAGTCCCGTTACTCTGCAGGCTTTCAGTGTTTTCAAAGTGATGTAATATTTTGGAATGTGCAGCTCCGTGTCCCCACCTTGCACTGGGCTGAGCTCGTTGGCTCTGCCCGGGCAGGCGTACCTTCTCCTTCTGCACAGAGGCTGGGGGGACTCCAGAGAACCCATGCATGACAGTTCAGCTGCAGAATTAAAGATTTGCATGAAGTTCTAGGAAGGTAATGTTTTTCCTAGGCAACTTCTGAAGCTTTCTTGTCTAGAGATTTAGACAAGTGAAAATTTCCATGTATGGGAATTGGTATCAATCTCCTGTCCTCCTGCGAGGACAGCGAAGATAATGGAGACAGACAAAAAAAGAAAAATGCTTTGGCTCAGAAACTGAAATGTTGCTAACTAGTATTGAAAGCACCATCTGAGAAGAAGAGAGCACCTCAGGGACGCAATAAATAATTCCATTAACATAGCTTAAAAATGGATTTAAAATCAAATTTCACTTGAAAGACACTGTCCCTGGTTGAAAAAAGGCACTTCCAAATCTCGTGCTAGAAAGTATGTAACCTGATTATCAAAATGTGACACAAATCTACTAGGTCTCTTCTAGAATTCAGATAATAAACCTTATTCAAAATCATTTAAAAAGCCATTTTCCTTTAAATAAACTCTTTATTTTCAGCTTTATTATTGCAAAAAATTCCTATTCTCAAATTTTGTAGCATTGAACTCTTAGGTCCTAGATCATATTCCCTCACTATCTTCAGTGTTTTCCCTTGTAAACATTTAATGATTGTAATAACTCTAATTTTTCTAGCTCTCTTAAATCTTAAATATATATACGGGGCATTACTCTGAAGAGGGAAAGTTTCCCTCAGCAAGTTTGGTCTCTCATTTATCTGAAGTGTTTGTTTAGAAGCCTCCTTTAATTTGAGGTAGCACAAATTTTTTGTTGCATTTTTATATTTGGCTCCCTTTTTACATGCAGCCTGAAACTGAGCTGCCTATCAGCTTGTCCTGGTCTTCCAAGTGGTAGGTTAGCGACACGTGCGTGGGGGTGCTTCACAAATTAAAGTAATGCTACGAGTTTACCTCCGTATTTTGATCACTGATGATTTGTGCAAGAAAAGCATTTGACTTCTGAATTACAAGTGATGTTGGAAAGTTTGGCAGAAACTGCTGCGTTTTAACTTGAGTCAGAGTACATTTGATTCGGAAATCATTAAGAGGCGAGCAGGGATCCTCGCCTCGTGTGCTGAGCCCTGGTCATTTCTCTACTGCCCAAGTTATTACCTGTATTTTACAAAACGTTGAGGAAACACAAAATATCCCAAATAAGTAGTGACTTTGAGAGGGCAGAGTTTATCAGTGTGGGAGGCAAAGAGCATGTGTGCATCTCCAACCTCCCCTCTACCATTCAGCCTCCTTGCAGCTGGACGGGTCCGTCCACAGTACGGCAAAGGAGTCGGAATTCACCTTGCCATGTTTGCATCATGACCCGGAGACGTTATCAGGGCTTCCCTGGGAAGTGATGTGGTTGTGTGAATTTTATTGTACTCAAAGACAGAGTTTGTAGTTTTGGTAACAACTGATCTTTTGCAGATTTTAAAAATGCTTTGCTCTGCCCCATGGGGGATGTTCTTTGAAGACGCTTTTTGGATTTTAAGGCTTGGGGCAGTGATGGTCAGAGGTGAGACAAACAAGCCCTTCTGATTTGTTAGTCTGTTCCTCGTCCCAAACAGCCATGGGCAGGAGTTCTCGCCTCTTCTTAAGTTGGGGATCAGGGAGGGGGGAGGATGGAAATCCTGCAGCTTTACAGACTCCCCAGGAAAATGTCCCTCACAGGTGGTCGGATGAGAGTCAGGACTGCGCGGTGGGTGCAGCTCATGGTTTCTTCAGCAGCAGCGTAGGATTTCCTCTCCTGTCATTCTGACGCATGCTGAATTAGCACAGATCCTTGCTGCTGTCGCTCACAGATCATCTCTTTGAGAGCTGAGACTTTAAAGTATAAATGTTGCAAATGGCTCTGAATGAATGTATGTAGCATTTGTCTCTCTGTAAACGATGTAGTTGAAGGCATGTCTGTGATCCTGTTCTGATTAATTGCTTTTTGACATCTCTGCTTAAATATATGTCATGGTATCTAACGATTCTTTCTTGAATTTACAGAAGCAGCTTTCCAGAAGTGATTCAGATGAAAGACGAGCTGTTATTCTTTGTGATGGTAAACTCCATCTAAATGTAGTCCAGCAGATATTCAATCTCCCTCTTGTAGAGATGCAACACGGTATGTTGTAATTATCCAGTAATACAAACTCTTTAAACACAAGCGACATTCTCGATGAGCGGTAGCAATATGCATAATCCCATCTGGAAAAAAAACAAGGGGTAAATAATGAAAGATTTATTAATAAAAGTTTACTCATTTGTTTTATGATATGAAGATTCTTCTCTGGGCTCTTACTGAGAAGAATCTTTACATTATAAAAGAGTAAACTTCTACGCATCAGGTAGCTAAATATATGGGAATATTACTGTCACCCAGTATTTTATTTATGTTTTCAGCTGTTCTAAACAGAGAAGTCCGAGTAATGAGGAGGTTAGAGTTGAACGGTGGGTCTGGAGTACAGTTTTTTATATTGTAATCTGTAGTTCCATCATCTTTAAGAAATCCTATAGTCTTTTATAAACACAAAAGTGGCTCTATAAATTTTTAACAGTGCATTTTGCTTCAATTTTTGCTATCAAGAAAACTGCCTTTCTTATTGCTGTGGTTTTCTCTGCTGTTACCCGCTCATCCCGTGCACGTCCCAGGTGTCTGTGTACGCGTCAATTCTAAGTGCCTTACTTTTGGCAAAGGTAAAAAATGTACTTTTGGGGCAGGATCTCTCACTACTACAGATATTCTCTCTACTGTATTTCAGCTGCTTGCCCCCCGTGTCTGCTGTCTGCCTGCTTGCAGATTACTGAGCAGCTATCCCAAAGCTTAAGGCTGCTATTCTTACCATTGTGCAAGTTTTATTTTTCTTTAAGTAAGTGTTGGAATATGTTTAGTATTCCCATACCTAGCTAAAACTTTAGTTGAATAATTCACTAACAATTGAATCCTGAAAGAGTTCTTAGCACTGTCACATCAGTTTAGTAGTTTTCCTGTTGCAGGATCAGTTACCTGTGTCAAAACACGGTGACAATTTTAATAATGTTGTGACGCAACCCAGACACGTGCGATATACCCAGTGATGACAGTAGGCGGTTTTGTAGCTACTGATCTCTTAGTTTTTCAGACTGGAATTTTGCTTGGAGCTGTAAGACTTGAACAACTTCTCTTTCTGGCAAGAAAAATGTCCCCATTACCTGTGTTAGTTTGAACTTCTCTTTTTTTAGCTTAAAATTGTAAACTTAACCGAATTGGTTGCCCAGGAGTGAGCAATCGTCGTGCATGCAACTAGCCTTACTAGACGAATTTTAAAAGCAAACAGTGTTACAGTAAGGTTTTTTAATTAATTTTACAAGTATTACTAGATAAATTGCCAAAATAGGAATGGTATTTTCAAATGCCTGAATTGTACTGGTTTTAAAGTCTAGTCCAAATGAGATATTAAGCCAAAAATTAAAGGGTTGCGTGCTTTTGAGCTACAATCTCCTCATGACCTTACTTGTGACATGAAGTTACATAATGCGAATTTACAAACAGATGGAAATGTTTCTCTGAATCCCCTCACTCCCCCATGAGCTCGATTTTATTTCTTCATCAACGTAATGGATACAAATACAAAAATTGGTAGAGGTCAGTGTTTCAGATTCAGTAAATGATTTCAAATTGTAAAAATAACGCTAATAATGATGCCACACCAAGTAGCAAATGGCCCAGAGACATGAGGTTTGTACAGTATAGTACAGTGTTTCTTCCTTGTATTTATTTGAATAATTATATTGAAATTACGTAATAGAAGCTGTCGGTTTTATGATATAATTTGTCTTTTAATTTAATAAATTTCTGCTTTTTACAGTATCTGCACAGCTTAAGAACCGCGAAGTAGCTTAGGAATACCTAATTAAAACCAAGTCTGGATGCTTATGAGTTTTGTTCAGAAATTCATTCCTCCTGCTTATTTGGAGTGTGCAGTCTCGTCTCCTGGTGGCAAAATTGGCCAGAAAGCTGTTCTGCATAGTTGTTGTCCTTAGCTTTGAGATGATACAGCTTGTATCTCCCCATACTTGTCTTTTTGCTAGAAAAACTGTAAACATACAGAAGCACTTAACTTTCATTTTAGAAGAAATATGTTTTATACCTCAAACATACCTAATGACAGGAAAACTGACAAGCAGACGTTTACGTGTCTTCACAGGTTCATCTTGGATTGTTCTCACGGCGGACAGCGAGGGCTTTGTTCCGTTAATGTTTACATCCAGGCAGGAGATCGTCGTCAGAGATGCCAGCACGAAAGGCTACAGCGCCCGTTCTTCCAAAACTTTGGACATCATCAGTTCTACAGAAGGGTGTAGACCCGCTGCTTCTGAAAGTCTGGATATCACGAGTTCTTTGGAAGTCCTCAGAGACTGCTCCTCCAAGACTTTAGACGGCAGCAGTCCCTCGGAACAGCCCAGCAGTACAATGTGATTTTTGACAGTGATTTTGTAATGCCCGTCTTATCATGGGAGGCTTTTAAATTACCGTATAGGATGTCAAATTCTAAACAGCAGTCTGTCTCAAGTCTCTGTTGGATTCCCATAATTGGTTTTGTCTCATATCACTGTAAATTATTTATTCGATCCTTGGAAATATTAACTTTTTTTTTTTTTATAGTGATCAGTGTTTTTTAAATATGCCTCTTGCAGTATAGATCAGGTCTTTGTATCAGTGGTTGAAAACACGTGTTCTTACAAGCTTCCGAGCTGAAGTTTCCCTCTTCATCTTCAACACGTTGGTGTTTTTAGATGATAGTAAACTTGCATAATAAAGAAATCCTTGAAAACGCTGCATTGCCCCCCCTTTCCTCACTTCTGTCAAAGCCTGGAAGATTACGCTGTTGTTATTTGGGCATAGTGCCTGCCGCGGGGCGTGGGGTTTCGCACGGGTGTGACGAAGGGTGTAAGCGCTGCTTGAGGTATGGCGGCGTTTGGGGCAAAGCCTGGCCGTGTGCAATACCCAGAGCGGGTGGCAGCAAGGCCCCTTCCCCCTCCTGTGCCCGCCGGCGCTGGCTCTCTGCTTGCTTCGCTGTGTGTGTTTGGGGAGGTGGCTGCCTCGTGTGTCACCTTCTGTGGGGGGGTGGCGGCCGGCTGGCAGCTGAGCCCCCACCCAGCTGCTCGCTCCCTGGGGGACAGAATTGGGAAGGCAAAAGCAAGGACAACTGATGGGGTGAGATAAAGACAGGTGACTAGGTAAAACAGGAGCTGCGTGTGCAAGTGAAGCAAGATAAGGAGTTTATTTAGCACGTCCCCCTTGGCAGGCAGGCGTTCAGATTTGGTCACAGATCCAAAGCACCGTATGGGCTGCTATGAGGAAACCAACTCCATCCCAGCCAGGCCCAGCACATCGTTACAGGCATAAAATGACTTCAGTTACATTTGAATAACTGAACATCTGATAATTAAGATTTGTAAACATCTCTTGTCTTCATATTAAAATTTTTCCTTTTACCTTTGAAACAACGCTCTTAATATTAACAACGTCGCCTTCAATAGCATCTGATCTGTTTTAATTTTCATAGGTAATCGGTGCTGACTGGGCAGAGGGGACAGCCGATAGCCCATCACCATGAGAACATCCAGGTTAAAAGCTGACAGCAGAAAATGTTCTGTGGGCTTTTGTAGTGAGAGAGAATGCAAAGCTGAAATTTAGAAAACAGCACAAGTTGATGTGGCCTGGATTGCAGCACTGAAGAAAAGCCAGTAATCCAAGATTGCTACCCATAAAATTAAAGCATGATAACATTTAAGCAGTTTATCAGGCTTTCACAGTGGCACTTACTGTGCGAGATGGCCTCAAGTGATGAGATTATAGAATTGGAGCTGCTGTCTCAGGACTAATAGAATCGCTTTTTTTTTTTTTACTGGCTCTTTGGAAGTGTAGCCACTGTCAAAAAATCATTTGGCCACAAACTATTAAAGATACAACATTAGCCAAAGCTGCAAAGAGCACGCAGTGTTGTATGGTGAAGTTAACAGCTCTTGATGAACAGGGGAGGAGGAAAACAGGTAAAATAATTTGGCAGCTGTGGGCTTCATCCTGTGCATGAGAAGCATCTGTTCTCAGTAACTGCCGCTGGTTAGTCCGCCGTCCCCCTCACGCTTACCAAAAGGCGTTGGGTTCAGAGCCTCGGCACCGGGCGTGGGTTCAAAGCAGGCTGGGTGCTGGGGATGGCCCAGGGCTCTTCTCAGTCGCCTGAGGGTCCCTTGCCCTGCCAGGTCCCGGTTTCGACATCCCACGGGAGGAGGGGGTCAGGGCTGGGTGCTCCCGCCTGGCGGTGTGCTCCCCCGTCTCCCTGCTGAGGCGATAACCACTTGTGGTGGTCGTGATGGATGCGTCCGATCGTGATGGATGCTTCCAGTTGTGATGGATGCATCCAGCGCAAAGTGGATTCGGGGGAGATGGGTAACACAATAGCCAAGGGCTACTGCGCAGTGTGCCCACCTAACAATCACAGTGAAGGAACTAAAATCTGTGCTGGGTACCCAAATATGACTGTGAGCCACTCCTCTGAGCCCCATCAATAGGGAGCAGCCCACGAGCCCTCAGAGCACGGCCTCGGGCTGCACAGCAGGATCTCCCCGTGAGCAGGGTCACCTCTCAAGGTCACTCCTCGAGGTTGAGAGATTCCTTACCACAACAGATTCTCGGTGAGAGGCTAACAGCGTGCTAACTCTGAAACCTTAGCTAAGTGATAGAGAGGATTGATTGCACATATATAATCCTTTAGACATAAACCGTTGACCAAGTCTAAGCCTAGGACTGGATCCAGCCGCACCAGACTCCTCTCTGAGGAAGGAGTTTAGTAAGCAAGGGGGTCCTGTCTGAACCCCAGGACCCAACTGGAGGGTGTCCTGACCGCTTTGTCTGACCCTGCCCTCTGTGCAGTAAATAACCACGTGTACCTCACCATTGAATCTTATAAACTATTGTCGCATTTAGCACTGAACTTTAACTCACTGATTTATATGAATAAACCATAGGTTTTGCCTCCCTCCCACTCCATCCGCAACATCTTGGCTCCGCAGGAAGCCTCTGCCACCTGCACTGGCCCAGTGCTCCTGAGAGGGCACCGGGGAGGGTGCCTCGAATTGCACGTGCCTCAAATGCTGCTTCTGTAATTTTGTTATGCAGCCAGCGTATAAATTGCCTGCTTATTTTGGAATTATTACCTATTTGTATTATTTCTAGATGGACGAAAGACAAATGTCTCCCCCCAGAAGCGTGCTCAGTTTCAGGTTCCAGCAGACGGATTTGTAGGACTCTTCCAGCTGCCCAGGTGAGCACTGGGAACGACGCGCACAGGGCATCGCCGCGTCGGGCAGCCAGAGCAGACACAGCAAGTGCGAGTCGCCCGCTCAGAGCTGTTAATAGTTTGCTCAAGGGATCATGCTAGTTCTTCAAACAAAGACCCGAAGTGCTGAAGGTTCATCAAGCAGAACGCTAACGGTAATGAGACTTTACTTTTTAATGCTGAAACCTTTGGAGAGGGATGTGCGAGCAGTTGGAAGTCACCATGGTCTCATGCCGGGGGCTCGGGGCTGGAGTGAGCAGAACCTGCAGCTGAGGCTGATGCTCTCTTGCTAAGATACTGTTGGTAAATTAAGTACTTTATCTATTTCAGCTGGACTGTAATATGGGTTAATAATAACCTTTTGTATAGGTTATGTGAGGCGTAATGCTACAAGTGTACCAAGTATCGTTTCTGAATTAATTTAGTGGGAAAACCAGCTTACTTCTTCCAGACAGTTCATCAAAAGGGTTAGAAAAGATTACATTAAAAAAAACCCCAAACAAACCAAAACCCCACACATACACAAAACCTTAGAGATTTCAAACTCTGGTTTAATTGATGCCTCTCATCTGAAAAAAGAGCAAAGAAAGTAGTGCAAAACTGATTGGAGTCATTATCTTACTCATGTGCGTTGTTATTTACCTTCAGGACAACTTCAGGCTCGCTCCTGCTGGGTGAAAGCGTGAGTTCGGGGAGCTGCGTTTGAAGCAGAGTTCCTAATTTACCTGCTTTAAAGTTTTTATCTGAGCTTGGTTTTCATGGTGGCCAATTTCCTTGTGTCCACAGCCGTAGATGCTCCAAGTTGATACCATGACGATGAGGAATACCGTGACATCTGACGTACCCAAGCTTGGGGATGGGGACACGTTTGCAACGGGAGATAAAAAGCACTTGCTGGAGTTTCCCTTGATCTTGAAGAGGGAGATGTTGTTACACATGGGTTTATGTCCAGAATCGCACAGCTAATGGTTTGCAAAATCTCTTATTAAAAATCTTATTTTCATAAAACATTTCATGTATTGACTTTTCATTTCATTTGCTTTTACTAAAACTTCTGATGGATCTTGATTGAATGTGGATTTTGTTCAAATCCACACAGAGAAGGCCTGTGTTCTCAGTGCCTTTGAGAAAGAGAAACCCTTAAATGAATCTTTTCACCTCAAATCAGAGCCTTCTGTTCTGTTTACAATGTCCCCAGACTTTAAAAGATTAATTAACATTCATCAACCAGGTAACAACGTGAATGTGTTTGCAGGGTGGTTTTAGGGAGCTTGCTTGTCTTTGGGCTCTTCTTTCCCCCCTAGTAGGTCACGTTGGGAATTCTGGAGTTGCCGGTTCTCTCTGCCTGGCCAGCTCAGCACAGCTGAGGCTTTGCCAGGAGCCTGGAGCTGGCTACCGCTTTGCCTTCATCCCACACGGCTGTCAGCGGGTACGTCTGTGCACCGAGACTCACGACCCAATGTGGCTGGCACTGGCAGAATTATTGAAGCTGCTGGATGTGGCAAATGTGCCAGATTCTTCTCAGTGACTTTGAAGGTGACCAAAGGGTGAGTTTGTTTCAGAAACACAAGGGAAATACTTCCTCCCGGGCTGCAGCTGATTTGGAAAAAAACTTCTCAGCCAGTGTAAACTCGGTTCCATCATTGTGCCGAGAAGCTGGTGGCCTGAGGCAGATGAAAACATCCTCTAGGTAAAACAGAGATGGAAGTCCATGATGGAGGGCACCAAGGCGCGAAGGAAAGCCTGCTGATCCTTTGCGGAGGGCAGATGATTCCCGTACGTCAGCAAAGAGGAGCTGGCAGGGGCCGGGTCTCTGAAGCGTACCTCCGCCGGCTGAGCCTCAGCAAGTGACCGTCGGTTCCACAGGGCCTGAGCAATCCTTCCTCAACCATCCGCTGCAGGGTGCAGCAAAAACGAGGAGAAAACACCGAAGGGCATAGCTGAAATTCATAGTCTCGTCTAACAACATTTGGGACAGGAAATGGATGAGGAAATAAGATTTATTTCTGCTTCCGCTCTAAAAAAACCCTCCCGTCCGACAGCACTGCGGCTCCCCAGTTAGGGTTAGAGGCTGCTGCTCTGCAAACGTCTCCAAAATGATACCGAGGACTCACCTTTTCCGCAGAGCTCTAGGACCTTTCTCCCGCCGGTGTTTGTTCTGCTCTGCCTCACGCCAGTTTGGGTCTTCAGAGACCATAAATGCTCAGGTGCAAAAAGTCTCCCCCTCTGCCCCAGGGGCAGAGGCACACGCTGCTGCTGCTGCTTTGTCCTGTGAATGAAGCTTCCCAGGGAGCTCGCATCTGGTTTACGCAGCAGATTGGTGCTTAATGATGCAAAATCTATCTGATGCAAAATCTATCTGATTTCATACTTTAAGCTTGTAACACGTACACATTTTTGGAACCATAGTACTCAGCACTCTTGCTAGGTATCTGAACCATGGCCTTGCAGAGATTTAAGGTAAAAAAAAAAAAAAGCATTCAGTGCAGCACGAGGAACTTGTGATCTCAAAAATTGCAGGAAAACAGAACTCTCTCCCTCACCTGCTGGCTGCATGAGTCCAGCTGACCTTTCCATCCATCAGTCTAGAAGCTTTCTGAAGGGAAAGACTCTGTTGTATGACTTTGAGACTGTTTTTTACATTACTCTGATATGAAATTCGTACGAGGTATGTGATTGACCACTATACACCAGACCGCTACCAGCTGTACCCTGCTGCGGGAGACTTTGAACCAGCCTGCCTTCTCCTCGTCTTCAAAGAGCTAGACAACAAATACCAGGTCTTAAAGGACCTGAGTTTCCCTTAAGGAAACTCCTCCTCTCAAGAAGATTGATTTAATTTTGCATTTTCTATCTACAGCTCCGAAAGGCAAGTAGAAAAGGAGATGAACAAGTGATAGTTGGAAACAAACTATGAACCCAAAAAAGCAGGGTTTGGCTTTAAAACATCGTCCACTTCAACTACTTTACTTGGGGTGCAGAAGGTGAATAGGGATGAGAGGATGCAGCAGGGACTGAATCTAGCAGCGATTCTTACAAGGCGCAGGAGTGACTTAAGGAATTAGTACTCAAATCTACAGAGCCTTTCCTGAAAACCCAGTGACCTGGCACCGAAGGTCCCAGCCTCCAGGGCCTCCCCAGGGACAGATGTCCGAGGTGACATTCACCTGTTAAAATGGGGGACTCAGCACAAGCGATCTAATCCGCCTGAGCCGAGGCAGGTCAGCGAGCTCGGGGGCAGATGGGGTACAGCAAGGCGGGAGAACATGCTCAGCCTGACACCAGGCTGGTGGCGGTGGCTACCAGCAGCCCCCTCCTTCAGGGCCCGCCGGGGGAGGGCAGCTCGCGTGAGACCGATCACCAGTAGCAACACTCGGGAAGGCAGCACAACCTTGGAAGGCTTCAATGTTATTTTTAGGGATGAAGCTGGAAGGGAAGAGTAGCGACTAGCTCAGCCACTGACTACACCAGCAACCAGCCCAGCACAGAAGATTTGGGCTGCCGTCACTACACCTCAGCAAGGGCAAGGAACAGGCATGGGTGCCTTACGGGGGACTTCCCAGTGATACGTAACTCCATTATGCTTTTCTTTTCTTCCTCTATTTGTGTAAATCCATTTGTTGGAACTGCTTGCGTGCAGGTGGGGAAGTACTGTCCATTAGGCGCCCAGCTGGTTTAATCCAATCTCCCATATTCTTACGACTGCACTTGAGTATTACTCAAATGAGAGCCCCTGGGGAGCGAACCTGGCCCTTGCTACTGCCAGCCAGTGCAAGGCAGGAGGTTTACAGTAGATCAGCCTTTAATCTGAATGGTTGTCAGGATAAGAATCTGCTTCTTTTGGTCACGTGTTCTGAGCATACATAAGGCTTACACATCATTTAAAACTGACAAGGAGACATACAAAATTCATTCATTATACAGCACCAACACTGAGTCGTAAAAGAAGAAAATTACAAAAAATGATCTTACCCTGCACCCTTCCATTCTTTTACTTAAAAAAAAACATTCAGTTTCCTAACAAAAGCACAACTCTGATAACCAAATACAATAATGAGATTTTTCAAAAGACAAAAATACTCTGCTACATCTCATCTACAGAAGCCTTCTAGTTCCCGTTATTGCTACCGTATGCAAAGTGAGGACTGAGCACACCTCTGCTGGATAAATATCACATCGTCTCTCTGGAGAAGAGGAAAAACAGTTTACAGTCAACAAAGTTTACCTTGCAAGAGACTGAATTCAGATTGGGTGTTGTGCAATTTAGAGGCAACTGCATAACTGATCTAGGAATAATATCTTAAGCCCCATTCAAACTACTCCAATCAACCACAGCCAGCAGTTTCCGCAACCCTTCTATCACT